AAAGGGCTAAGTAACAGTGATGGCATTAATATTAAATTCTCTAAAACTAATAGGAACCTCTTATTTAATTGTTCTGGCACTCAGCATGTCTGGGGAATACAGTGCCACTGGAAAGCTAATAGAGACAGAGGTCTCATGGTGTATTAACACTGGGATGCTGCTACTTTTCCTGGCTGGGTTATTTATGAGTTAAGACTATCGTAACTGTCTATCAGTGCCTTAGAGGCTTAGCTTGATTAAACCCCTTTGTATTGCTAATGCTAAAGGAGCTGGATTGATGCTGGGGATCTGTGGGGAGAGCTTAGCAAAAGCCTTAATGTAGCCATGACTCTGCTGGTTTCACTGTCTCTGGGCCCTGCGGGAGGTGTCTGCAGCGGGCAGGACCTGCCAGCCCTGGCAGGGTGACCTGAGCACCCACCGTGCTGCCTGCGGGACCCTTCCCCTTCCAGGTCCCTGCATCTCCCATGTGAGGTGTCCCACCAGCTCTGCTGGGCACCTTGTGCCCACTCCAAGCAGCTGGTAGAGCGCTCAGCAGGAGTTCCTGTGGTGTGTTGATTTGTGGCTCTGCTGGTTGAAGTGTGGCTCCAGGTGCTGGCAGGAGAAGGCTGCACGTAGCAGTGAGACCATGGTGAGCTCAAACAGCCCCTCTGTGCTTCTGCAGCACGAGTGGACTAATGAATGGGAAAAATGCTGAATGTGACAGAAAGCCCTGAATCTCAAAGCAGAGGAAGGCTGGCTCCTTCCTCAGGAAAGGCTGGCTGCCGTGCTGGGCGCTGATAGTGCCGCAGGCGTGCGGGGCTGCTGTGAGCCACTTGGCCCCTCTTCCTGCCCCCAGGCCCCGTGGCTGGCTCTCCCAGCTGGGGTACCCCGCTGTCCCCCTGCTGCAGAGGGTGAGGGGAGCGTGTCAGGGTCAGCAGTGAGGTGTGCCAGGTCTGTCCCTGTCCTGTGTCAGTGGCTGGCAGAGATCGCAGTCAGTCCCCTTTGAATCAGCTCCCAAGCTGCAAATTACCCTGTTGCCTCTTCTAGTATGTATCATCACAATGAAACTAATTTTCCATGAGAGAGTCAGCTGTTTCTTGATTAGAAGTGCTCCGAAAATACTAACAGAGAAATTATTACAGGAAGACTTCAGTGCTCATTTATGTAATTGGACTTTACTTCCCTGGCTGAAGTTGTTGCATCCACTCCTAGCCTGAGTGAGCACTTGCTCTCCCAGTTTTCTTGTGAGCAGAGAGGTTAGGGTGCAGCATCCCAAGGGCTGCCATGCCCTGGGGTGTAGCCTCGTGCCTCTGTTCCAGCTGGTGACAAGCTGTCATGTTATCCGTGTGTTTAAATCACAGCAGGGTTGACTTGTCCTTTAATGAACCAACAAGAATAATCTTCAGGCTGTTGTTTGGGCAAATGGATTCTTAAATTTTGCTTGTTTTCTGGGTGAGGAGTGAGGGTTTGCTGGAAATTAGCAGAAAAAGAGACAGCTCCTCTCCCATCCCTGTCTTTGTCCAGCTGCCCATGGCAGCGGCCGCGCTGTTACCGCTCCTGTGCTCTGAAGTGCCGCATGCTCAAAGGGAAGAAAGGCAGAAGGCCGATGTAATTTTCGAGATCATCCTGTGTGATGAGATTAGCAATGTATCACAACATCACAGAATTGCTTTCTGGCTGAACCACGGTTCAGGCCAAGCCCACCACGAGCCTGTGTGTGCAGCAGCGAGTGCTCAGGGGTGATCGGCTCTGGGAAACACTTCTGGGTACAGGGACCCTGGGCTCTCTGGGGTCAGCCAGGTCAGGCTTAATAAATTTAAAACATGGCTAATTTGCTCATCAAAAGGGCAGTAAATGGAGGAAGAGGGAGATTTGAGCTCAGTACAGCGTTTCCCAAATGTTGGTGCAGCCCCAGCCCTGGCCAAGGCAGCCCCTGGAGCTGATTTAAGCACTGCGCACTCAGCGGGAGTGAAATGTTTGAGGTAACATGTTTTAAATCCGATTTTCTGACCTGAATGAATTCCATGTTCTGGATAAACATGGTGTTTGTGAGGCTTATCTCATGCAGGCACTTTGTTTTGGGGGTAGGAGATGGGGCTCTGGTCCCAGTCATGGGGGGCTATTGATGCTGGGTGTTTAGCGTGTTGGGGCACACTGTCCTTGGCCAGGTATCTCCTTAATCATCTGCTTAAAGGGGTTAATACGTGAAAAGGCAACTGCTGCCTGACACAAAGCTGGTGTTGTTGCAGCCCGTGCTCCCCTGGGATGGTGGCTGCTGTGACAGTGTGCTCAGGATTCCTGCAGCCCGGCCCAGCGAGCTGTCATGTGGCTGTGGCGAGGCCCTGCTCCGTCTGCCGCCGTGGAGGGGAACAAACGGCGCTTTCACTGCGCCCGACAAACCTCCCTCTTCCTCACATTAACCGGCGATTGGATGCTGATTTGTCTCTCCTGTTCTTTCATGCTTCACCAAACCTGGATCTGCTTTACCCAGCAAGTCGAAGCATAATGAAGTAGAAAGTGAAATTACTTGATCAGCATCAGCGCGTTGTTTTTCACCGCTGACCCAGCTCCGTGTGTGCTGGAAGGTGAAGACTCGCTGCCCCTTCCTGAGCAGCAGCCTGGGCCCCACAGCAGCTCAGCTGAGTGGCTTCAGCCCCCCATTGTGCAGAGCAGGGCAGCTGTGCCTGGCTCCTGAGTAGGTTTTGTGGTTTTGGGAGGGCTGCTGGGCTGTGTTTGCTGGGGTTGTGCTAAGGCTGTGCTGAGGTCCGTGCCCTGCCAGGCTGGCCTGGCTCTGCAGGATGCTGTCCCCTGGCTGGGTGTGCAGAGCCTTGTGCCAGCAGCGTGGTGGGGCTGTCACTGGGGCAGGACCTGGCCCTGGGGCCTGGGTGCCTCAAGCACCAGCCCTTCACCTGTCCCAGCCGAGGCAGGGCTGTGACTGGGCTGATCAGCTGAAAGAAAAGCTCCTGCTCACCTGGGAGAGCTGCATGGGCAGGCTGGGCTGGGGCTGCCCTGTGCATCCTGCCCTGCTCCCCAGGGCTCCAGCTGCATCACTCACTGTGCACTGCTAACCCCAAACAGCCCCTTCCTGCCAGCTCCTGCAGGAACTCCCATTTCCATAAATGCTGGAACAGCTGGGCTGTGCTGGGGAGGGGATGCTGGGGCTGCACTGCCGGGGTGCTGGGAGGCGATGCTGTTTCATGCTGAACTCTGAGCTGACGATTGTGAACTTAGGAAGGTTTTGGGGCTTGGGTGTAAAGGCTTTGCATTGGGAATTTCAGCTACTTCTGTCTCTGGCCTGTGGTGCTGTATCAAAATGCCAGCTTTTCCTTGGGTCTTATCCCTGGGCATCTGTTAGAGCAAATTCCCTGTCTTTCTGAGGAGGAGCAGCACTTGATACCTCTCATGATCATTGCAACAGGGGTGCCTTGCCTGGAAACTGCACCAGAGTTTAAGCTGTAGCTGTCACCAGATGACCTGGCGGTCACTCTGGTTCCAGAGCTGGCCCCAGAACAGGTGGGTGAGCCAAGAGGGTTTGGGTGCAGCTTTGTCTGAGCCAGCTCCTGCTCATTGCTGCTGTAACCGCTGGCTTAAGGTGCCATCCCTGGCCTTACTGCAAAGGACTTGCATGGGAAGGGAGGGGCTGGAAATGGACATTTTAAATTGCATTTCACGACATTTAGTTGCCAAGCACTTAATGCAGTTGATCCCCTACTTTCTGCAAATCCATTGATTCCCCATGGCTCAGAGACAGGCTGGGCACAGGCAGGAGCCAGGCATGGCATTGGGCTCCGGCCATGATGTGGGGCTCCATCCCCCTTTCAAATATTTACTTTACTGTGTGAAAACAAAATACAGTTGGGATTGGGAAATGTGTCTGGGCAGTGTTTCTGGAGCTGCCTCAGTGTGTGGGTGCAGAAGGGGGTGCAGGGTGTGTGGGGACCCCGCTCTCTGGTGGCAGTGCCGTGTCCAGCCTGTGCTCCCGGTGCCTCCAGCCATGACTGCACCTTCCTGGCTCTGGTAGCTGCTGCTTCAGGCTGTGATGTGCCTGCTGTAGAAATGACCTGTCTGGTATGGATGTGACATTGCATCAGCTACTGCCCTCCTCTGAGCAGGGTCTCTGTTGTTTCCTTGGCCCGGTGCCCTTTATCCCTCCTGGAGTGTCTTTTGACCTGGTTCTTTAATTACTAGTACAGAATAGGTCTTCTAGGTTGCCCCTTCTTGGTATCTTCATGTCAGGACTTTATCTTCCACTTCACTCTTCAGCCTAAAGCTTCAGCAGGAGAGCTGGCACGGTGATGCTGGCGAGGGGTGCTGTGCACCGTGGCTGTCCTGCTGCCCCTGTGGGTGGCTGTCCTGCTGTCCCAGGGGAGCTGCTGGTGACACAGGGCTGTGCTTGCCGCTGTTTGCTTTGGGGCCTGGTCCTGCCAGCTGGGTGTCAGCTTCAACTGAAACCTAATCAGGCTCAGCTTGAGATGTGCCAGGGCACAGGGTCAGCAGGAGAGGAGAGGGGGAAGAAATGTGCCTGGGGGGCTGGCCTGGGGGCCCAGGGCTTGTGCTGCTGCCTGCCCCGGGGTGTGACATGCTGGGGGCTCAGAGCTGGCTGTGGGGGTGCTTTTTGTGGTGCCTCTTGGGGTGCCTTGCCAGGCAAGTGCCAGCCCTCGGTGCTGCTGCCTGGAACTGCCCTTCTCCAGGCACACAGCTGGGTTTCCTGTTATAATGATATTTCCTAATTAAATCTCCCTAATTAAGCAGCAAAATGTGCTGTTGGTTAAGCTGCAGTGCTGTCTCACAGCCTGGCAGTCAGGTTTGGCTGGGTGCATCCCCCTTGTCAGACAGCCTGATTTCCAAACGTGCCCCACGCCTCCACTGCCCAGTTCCCTGCCCTTCCCAGCCGGGCACCCTCGGCACGTGCAGCCCAGGGATCCTGCTGGCATCAGAGAGCTGAAATCAAGCAGGAGGCTGCGAATGCTTCCAGAAGACCCTGATTTCTTTTCCCTGCAAAAGCTGATGCTCATGGAAACATTCCTTTTTCTTCCTTGCAGTGAACACCTACCTCTTCATGATGCAAGCCCAAGGCATCATGATCCGTGAGAACATGCGAACTATAGGAGCTCAGGTGTACGAGCAGGTGGTCCGCAGTGCCTATGCCAAGAGGAACAGCAGTGTGAATGACTCAGGTATTCCTTGAGCAATTGTAATTTTGACTAATGGTTCCGTTTTCATTGAAAATTAAGTTGAAGGAATTAATTTATACTGGTAAATGCAGGGTGGAAGCTTAGATTAATTTTTTTGCCACTTTTCTTTTTATATATAAAAATATATATGTAACATAAAAATATCCTCTATGTATAGAAACACTGTCAAAACATTATTTATTTATTTCTTTATTTATACATGTGGAAAGTTGAAATGCCTCTAACTTGTGTAAGGGATGAAAATCTTGAAAGGTCCAAAATGATGGGATTTGAGCTGAAAACCTCTGCTTTCCAGGAATTCAACTTGTAGCTTCAGCCAGTCTGAGGGTAAACACTTTGAAATTCAGTGTAAGGATCAGGTTTCATATTTAAAAAATACCTTCCCAGGCGTGCGCCTGCGCAGAGCCCTGCCTCTGGGCACGTGGAGGAGCCTGTGCTCATCAGCTTCACTCTTGCCATGCAAGTATGAACCGAGATGACTTGGCTGGAGATCTGCCACAGATAATAGATTGAACTTGGGCAGGATGCAGGGAGTGGAGCGCAGGCTCCCCCTCCCAGCCTCTTCACCAAGGAACATGTGGGGTTAGAGCTGTGGTGTGCTGCAGCGGGGCAGTGGCTGTGAGCGAGGCGTTGCTGCGGGGCCGGTGCCACCCAGCCTGTCCCTTCCCTGCTGCCGTGTCCCCACGGCCTCCCCACAGGTGCTGCTGGCAGCAGGGCTGGGCTGGGCTGGGCAGAGCTCGGCTCCTCGCCCGCCAGGGTTCAGCAGCGGGGGCTGAGCGGGATTTGCAAGGCCAGATGAAGCAGGAGCCGTGTCCTTGCTGCCCAGCCTGCCCAGGTGCAGCCACCGCTTCAGCTGTGCCCTGGCTGGGGTGGGCACGGGAGGACAATTATCGACTTAGGCAGGAGATGAACGCCCCGGGTCACCTCCTGTGCTGCACCCTGGCAGCCAGGGCGGCCACCCTGGGCTATTTTTAAGCCTGGAAACATCAAGTAAAGCAGAGCCAAGGTGAGGAAGTGGCTGATGCCCTGCGGGAAGGAGGGTTAGGTGCTCCATTGCTGCTGTTTGTGGTGGTGAGAGCCTTCATCCTGCTGAGGCTCTGGTCCAGGGGGCTTTGAGTGATCCAAAACCCGTGTCCTCCTGCAGCAGGGAACTGGTGACCCCAGTGCTGGCAATACCAGTGCTGCTGCTGCAGTACTGGGCTTTGCTTGATCCTCATACCAGTCCCAGCTGCGCAGGCACGTGAGGACACCCGTCCCCCCCAGTGCTCCAGCCATGAGGACAGTTTTAGCACATACGAGCTCTGTGCACCGTCCTCGGGCGACCTTCCCTGGCAGGCAGGATGGGTGGTGGTGCTTGGTGCTGTGGCCGCCAGGGCTGTGTTAACACTGGGGTCAGAACCTTCCCCCTGACTGAATCTGGGAGCTGGGTGGGTGTCACTGCCTGAGGAGTGCCCTGTCCCCAGCCACTGTGTGACAGCTGCCAGAGGAAACCCAGCAGGAAAGGCAGCCCTTGGTGCCAGACAGAGCAGTTGAGCTCCAGTGCGGGCTGTGACCTGGGCTGAGCACTGCGGGTGTGCTCTGCTATGGGAGTTTACAGGGAAAATTGGTTATGGAAATTTGGAACAGCAGCAAGCACCCAGAATAACATCCATCCTACTCGAAAAGCCCTCAGGTTCTGTGTACAGCCCATCTTGAGTTTTGAGATAGTTTGGATACTGTTTACTTGAGCGAACAAACAATGTTACTGACATGATGTTCTGTACTAGCACAGCATAGCAAATGACTTGTTCCAGTGGAAAACCTCCTCAGAACATCTTGGGGTGCAGCAGGCTGGAGGGCACTGCCCAGGAGGGTCAGGGATGTGGGGAACAGAGAGCTGCTGGAGCACAGAGCAGAGGGAAGTCTGTGTGTAATGTGATAGTTTTTATTGATCCTATGGGGAGGATTCCAGGCAGGAATCCTACACAGCACCCTGCACTGACAGTCCTAGCTGGCACTGAGACCTGCCTGGGGATTTCTCTCTCTCCTGTTGGGAAAGGACCTGCTGGAGGAGCACATCCCTTCCTGCTGTGCCAGGGTCCTTTAGGGACAAGGCATTGGTAGCTTTTCCTTTCGAGAGCCACGTGCTGCTTTGTGACACTTAAAGGTGATGCTCAAAATTCCTCCTTTGGCCAGAAAATGCAAAGATTTCTTTGATGTGGTGCTAAGGCTGCTGGGATGAGCACCCTGCTGGCTTGCAAGACCAGAGCATGTTCCACTGGGGACACAGCTGTGCTGCTGGGGACATCCTCTGCTGATTTTGGAGTCTGCTCACAGTGGCATGAGCAGGTGGCTGGAAATAACAGACCTATAGCTCAGGTGAAAACTTCTTTTTTTTTTCTTCTTCTTTTTTTATTCCCCAGATTATCCTCTTGATCTGAGCCACAATGACACCTTCCTGCAAGCCACAACGTTTCTTCCTGAAGACTTTACCTACTTCCCCAACAATACCTGTCCTGAGAGGCTCCCTTCTATGAGTGAGTAGCATCCTGCTGCCTGTGCCCCTCTGCTGCTTCCCATGGCTTTGGAGGGCACACAGTGGCATTCCCAGTCTCACCACTGTGGCACCTTTCCCTGCCAGGCACCTAGGGATGAATGGGAGCGCTGTTCAGAGCCCAGCTCCCTCCTGGGAAATCATTGTTTACCCACCCTCAGGAATTAATCCCTGCTGTGTCAGAGGCATGTCTCCCTGCTGAAGTAGGAGCCCATTGCTTGGCAAACACAAACAAAAGAGGGATTGTGTGCTGGGAGCCGGTGAAAAGACTCTGCCAGCCCTTTTCCAGGGGCAGCGAGGCGGGGTGGCTCTCTTGTGCCTCGGCAGTGCTGCCAGACCGAGCTGTGCCAGGGCTGCTGTGGGAGATGGGCTGCACCCCCAGGGGAACTGCAGCTGGGCAAAATGCTTCCACCAGAGATATCCTCAGGGGGAAAACTGGCCTTGGAGGGCACGTGTTTGCAAAGGGGGGAATGCTCTCTGCTGAGGTGGGGGGTTTAGTCTGCTGGAAACACCCAGGGAGGAGCAGAGGGGTGCCCTGGCTGGCGTGGGGCTCTCATGGACAGTGCATCCAGTAGCAGCCACAAAGGCTGAGGAGACCCAGCTGTTGCATCAGCAGCGTTTCCTGATTCCTTTTGCTGGTGCTGGAGAAGTTGAGTGCTGGGGATGGAGGACAAAAGCCAAAAGTGCTGCCCCAGGACCACAGCAGTTCCTCAGCCCCTGCTGCTTCTCCCACTCTGCAGAGGGCCCCATTGATGTAAATATGAGCGAGATCACCATGGAGGATATCCACCAGTTCTTCTCTAAAGACCCTTCCATCAAGCTGGGAGGGCACTGGAAGCCGAGTGACTGCCTGCCTCGCTGGAAGGTAACTGGGAGCTGGGCAGCCCCGTGTCCTGCTCAGCTGGGGGACGGGGAGTCCCGGGTGGGCAGCAGGAAGATGCTAATGACAGCATTAATTAATGCTAATCTCTGCTGCGCTGCATCTTCAGAGCACTGATGTCAGAAGCTCTGAAGTGTGGGAATGCAGTGCCCAGGGAAGGAACAGTGAACTCAAGGGCTGTTCTATTGTCCCCAGTGCTGGGCAGAGATGATGAGGGGGCACTGCAGCTCTCCCACTCGAGGTGACATTGAATTTTTCTAAAGCAACAGTTCTTCAAAAAATGAGAGGAATTCAAAAAGCTAATAGGAAATCCATGTTTTGGGGGTTGGAAGGGTTTCAGGCTGCTCTACATGGGAGAGCTAAGGCACCTTTTTTAGTGCTGCTCCTGCCCTATAACCCTGCACCAGCCAGTCCTGCTCCAGCCGGGGTCGGCAGCGTGCGCGGTGCAGTGAGAGCCGTGTCCTCTCCTCGTCAGGTGGCCATCCTGATCCCATTCCGCAATCGATACGAGCACCTCCCCGTCCTCTTCAGACACCTCATCCCCATGCTGCAGCGGCAACGTTTACAGTTCGCCTTTTACGTTGTGGAGCAGGTGAGCGAGCGCGGGCGGCTCAGGTACAGCTCTGTCCCTGGAGAGTCCCTGCCAGCTCACATCTCTGTGATGTGCCAGCTGCAGGGGTCATGTTGCAGTGTGTAAGTTGTCCCGTTCTGTCTAAAGGTGGCATGGCTAAGAGATGTGCCCAGAAATTGCTGCTTTTATATGAAAAATGGAAGTTTGGGGATTTGTGGTGGTGTTTTATTTTTTAAATTCTGTTCTGTGGGAGTTATATTTCAAAGAAAGCTTTGGACCAGGTACTTGCAGTTCAGACAATGCTGCAGTTTTTTGTATATCCCTGCACTAGTTCCAGCAGCATCCCCTTGGCACAGGAGTGGCCTGACCAGAGTTAGGCATTTCATGTAGAACATGACTCTCTTTTGATGTGTACGTGGATCTCCCACTTAAGCTGTTTGGCTTCATCCACCTAGAAAATGTGCCTCCATATTTAGCTCTAACTTATCAAGATTGATCAAAATTGGGTTTTCTTTTTAAGTGTCTGAGTATTCTGCATCTTTTTTTTTGCTCCTGTACTGTGAATTGGATATTTCAGTGTTGGTGGATCTCGCTAGTCTGCTGCAATACATTGCTGCTTTCATGGTGCCAGCATGGGAGCTGCTTTCCCTCTGCAGCTTCCTAGTCAGGCTGAGAACACACACACACAGCAAGAGCTGCAGGGGCTCCTCTTGAGAAGGAACTTTCTCCCTGCTAGGCTGGAAACCAACCCTTCAACCGTGCCATGCTCTTCAACGTTGGCTTTCGGGAAGCAATGAAGGACTTGGACTGGGACTGCCTCATCTTCCATGACGTGGACCACATACCAGAGAATGACCGTAACTATTATGGGTGTGGACAGATGCCGAGGCACTTTGCAGCCAAGCTGGATAAGTACATGTACCTGTAAGCACTGTTCTTCCTCCCTGCTGCCATAACTGCTAAGGAGCCAGTGTTAGATTTAATTCATTTATTTATTTTTAAGGCACAGAATGAATCTGGGTTTTTTCTCAAAGGGAGCACGGGAGGGAATGGCAGAGAGCCATCCTCAAGGCTTGGGCTTTCCCATGGCAGGTGGGGGAGCCAGTGGGCTTTGCCCTGACCCTTCTCTCCTGCTCAGGCTCCCGTACAACGAGTTCTTCGGGGGGGTGAGTGGCCTGACTGTCGAGCAGTTCCAGAAGATCAACGGATTCCCCAACGCCTTCTGGGGCTGGGGTGGCGAGGATGACGACCTCTGGAACAGGTACAGGCTGCCTGGGCCCCGGTGCTGGTTCTGTGAGCTGAGCCTGGCACACGCTCGGAGGGGACAGTTGTCACCTCGGGCTGGCTGTGCCTGCCAGCCCTGGGCTGGGGACGAGCCAGCCCCGCTGCGCTGGCCCCGTGGGGCTGGGGCTGCTCCAGCCTGCTCAGGCAGTGCATGGGAAGCAGAGAAGCGCTGGCTGGGGAGCTGTTGGCTCCGTGCAGTGTCCCACACGCACGGCTGAGCGGGGCTCCGAGGTGCCGAGTGCTCTGTGACGTGCCCCGAGCCCGGGCGGCAGCGGGAGGCTTTTGTGGCTTCTCTGTGGGTGGGAAGGCCGGAGCCCCGGGAGCTCTGACTGCAGCCCTGGAAGCGCTGCCAGCACAGCAAACACAACGGGGGATTATTTTTTGTTTATTTTATTTCTCCCCTTTCTAATGCAGAGTACAGTACGCAGGCTACTCGGTGACTCGACCAGAAGGAGACACAGGGAAATACAAATCAATTCCCCACCATCATCGGGGAGAAGTGCAGTTCCTAGGAAGGCAAGTAAATTTTTTAAAGAATCCTAAAGCCTTTCACAAAGAGCCTGTACCATGTAGGAGGTTCCCTGCAGCTGTTTGAGGGCAGTGACAGCCTGAACTCTTGAAGGAAACTAACCGCAGGGAGATGGAGGCAGAGTGTTGCCAGGATTCCTCCATCCCTCTATTTGGTACCCCACATCCCTGCAGTGAAGGGTCCTTGTGGCTGCTTGGATGCCATCCAAAAGAGGGGATTGGCAGGCTGAGGGCCTGTCCTTTATCTCCAGAGGAATGTACAGGGGTGGCTGTTGCCAGGTGTCAGAGAAGCTTCAATGTTTCTGGAAGAGCCTGAGCTCAGTGCTGAAGGAGGCATTGCTCAGCCTGCAGAGAGCACAGAGCAGGGGCTGTCCTGTGGTGTGGCTGCTGAAGCATCAGGTGTCCCTGGCAGCAGCACCCTCTCCATTCTTGTTTCTGCTTCTTGGCCCCAAGCTGGGGTGGGTGTACAGAGCCCCTGAACTCAGGGTTTGCTCTCTTGTGAGGCTGCAGACATCCAGCAGGAGTGGCAACTGCCCCTGGACCAAAGGAGGACAAGCACTCTCTGAGCATTTTTCTCAAGAAGACAAATTCTCCCCGGAGCTCTCCAGGAGGGCTCCAACCTCTTTGTCCCAGAGCCAGGGTTGTTTCAAGCATACAAGGGTTGACTGATTGCTTTTGCCTGAAGACCACAGTGGAATTTGAGTCTTCTGAAAACAGCAACAGAAAACCAGATAAATAAAACTTTCACAAACAACTTCAGGAATTAACACTTGTAGCTGAGCAGCTGCTGGACAAGGAGTGCAAGCTCTGTTCTGCAGGGGGCTTTAGGCTGCTGCTGCAGAGATTTGAGCTATCTGCTGGTCTTTTCTTTGTAGAAGACTCATTTTTGGGGGTGTTTCCATCTTTAGCCCTATTTTTCATTCCTCTGTTGGACAGAATGCAGTCAGTCAGAGATGCTTCTCTTATTTCACTCTTGAAAAAAAGAGAAGTTGCTTTTGGTTTAAAAAAACGTATTTAGTCAAACCCTTGAAGCATGGCAGGCTGATAATGAAATGGGACTGGGCTCCCTCTTTGTACTCACCCAGCACCTTCCCCTGCCTTATGGCACAGCCCTTCCCTGGTCCCTGCTCCGTCCCCAGGGCTTAGCCCAGCTCCCACTCGCCCTGGTGCCTCCAGGCCCCCAGCACTGTGCTGAAGAGAGTCACTGTCCTGCTGAGATGCTTCTGCCTATTTTCTCCTCCCAACCCTCCTCCCTCTATCTCCTCATGCTGCCTCTAAATGTGCTTGAGGCTGTTTTTATGCACCAGCTGCAGTTTCCTTCCCCATACCGCCATTCTGCTAGTTTCACTTCCTCGCCCCCATCCCTCAGATTAAAGCCATTTATTTCTGGTTTTGCTCATGTCTGGTTTCATAGAAGTGGCAAGGACCACAGCACCCCTCAGCTGGGTCCCTCTGGGATGGTGTGGGTGGTGGGCTTGGCAGGACCCCCAAGGGAATGGGACCTGCAGGCTTTGGGCAGGTGCCACAGGTTGTTTTGGCAGCTGAATGTTTGCTGCTGGCACAGCGAGCACTTTCCCCTTTATCAAGAGATGGACTTTTCTGGAAATTTCTGATATTTACTAACACAGAGTATTTAAATGTGATGGCTGCCTTTCTGAAGGGCTCAAAAAGCGTTGTTTTGTAGCTGCTCCTGGGCCTGGCTCTTTGAAAGGTGTTCTAGTAGCCTTGGGAGGAGTTTGTGGGTGCTGTGAGACACGTGGAAGTGACTCTGGCCTCTGGTTCTCGTTGCACAGGTACGCCTTGCTGAGGAAGTCAAAAGAAAGGCAAGCCCTGGACGGCCTCAATAACTTGAACTACTTTCCAAACGTCACATATGACGCCTTGTATAAGAACATCACTGTTAACCTGACACCAGAGCTGGCTCTGGTGACCGAATATTAAAAGGAGAAAATAACTTTGCTCTGCCCTTCACCAAGAAAGCACCACGCTAGACTTTCTCTTCCAAGGGTTATTGAGGACAAGCAACACTTTGTCTAATGAAGGATCACAGTATTTTGGAGAATGAGGCTGAAAGTGCACGCACAAATTGCCCTAGCTGTAGCAATCCAGCCCGATACCCGGGCAGCGAGCTCAGCAGTCTCTTTATTTTTTTCTGCCACTTGCTTTCTGGGTTTCAGGACAACAGTTCGACCTGCTGCTCTCATCTCCACATTCCTCCTCCAGCAATCTCTGGCACTGGGACTCTCCTCGGATGCGCTTTCTCCTGCGGGAAGCGGCTCAGCTGAGGGACTCTGGCTTCTTGGCGGTGAACGTCAGGAGCAATTTGGTTGGCAACTGCCCTGGTGGGAGATCAAACGACTTCTGATGCCGTTCTTCTATGTCTGTGCAGTTTTTTAAATGACCTGCTTGAAGTATATACAACAGAATCGCTTCTTAAAGAAGTGTAAGTGTAAATATGCTGTGTAAATTGCCCCTTTTTATTTTTCTCCTATGGCTCAAGTCCAAGCGAGAGGTTTACATACGGTCACTCATTTTAGTCCTGAGTTCTGTAAACACTTGTGTGAGCATCACTGTACTTGTGCAAGGTGTTCCCTTTTAAGCCTGTGAGACTGCTTGCATGATTCCAGCTGGGCATATGCAGAAATGTTTGTGGGCCAGGGCCCAGAACCTTCCAGTGCAGAGGGTGAGAAATACAGCCGGGTCATCACTCATTCCAGAAACCGCAGGGCTGGCTTGTTCCAGGGAGGGTGAGGAAATGGGAATATTTATTAAAAAACCTCCCTTTTCTGTCACTTTTGCAACATGATGTGCAAATGAGTCCAAAAGCCGTAAGGAACAGAGTCCCATGGCTGTTGCTCTGTGTCCCACTGACGCAGGGTGAGCCCGGCAGCGCTCTCGGCGAGGCTGGGGGAGCGCAGCCCCCGGGCTGGGATGGACCCACTGTTCCCACAGGAGCCCTCCCTGGACAGCAGCGCTTGCCCTCACTCTGGAACGTGCTGGAAGGGTTTGGGAGGTTGGTTTGGTGTGTATCATGTAAATCACAGGGTGCTGTCTCTCTCAGTACCTGGCAGCACTGGCGTGGGCACAGCCGGTGGGACGGGGTCACAGCTCAGTGAGAGACATGAAGGACACATGAAAATGTGGGGACTGGGAGCCAGAGCTTGGTCTGACAGCCCATGCAGCCATCCAGTGTCATCCCTCTTTTCTTCACAGCCACGTGGGCAGGCTGGACTTTGGGCTCTGTCCCCACGGACACAGTCCAGCCCTTACACAGCACTGACACCACATCTTTCACTGGACCTCTCTGACTCAAAAGTAAATACATTGGGTGTTGGTTTTAGTTTGTATTTCCACACAACAAGGGCGGGTACTTGACCTCCAAAAGACTTTAACTCTTTTCATTGCATTGTTTGCCTTCAGTTTCCTGAACTTCTCATGGTTTACATTGTTTTCTCAGTTCCGTGGACGTATGATCCCCATACGCATCTGTGGTGGGTGTGACTGCCCAGGGCATTCCTAACCTGTATCCAGAAAACGTTAGTTTAGAAAACACAAGTTTTGTGTGGATCTTATCGGCCGGCATGAGAGGACAGCGAGCCTGCCCTTGAAAAGCGCTGATGAGTTTGTAACTAAGTTTTAAAGTCTCTGAACTTACATGTGCTTTAAACTTGCTTCCCGAGGGGATTCAGCCTGGTTATTTATAGGCAGAGGTGAGGATTTGCTTTTCCTGGCACATACAGCAATAAAGACTTTTGCTTCGGAATCTTGATCTGTAATTCACGTGACCCTTTCCGGGTGCTGAACCCGCGTTGCCCTGCCCCTCTTTTCTTTCATCTTGAGACCTTGCTAGAAACCTGTCTTTGTTTAATGGTGCTTCAAACAAAGAATGTATTTCAACTAGTCCAAGTTCACTACCCCAGAATCATGCATGTGTGTGTGAGTAGGTGTTGGACTACCTTAGTTGGGATCCTCAGCCTTCCATGTCCCTGCCACCCGTCGCACCTGGTGTGGAACAGAAGCCGTTACCTCTGCTCAGAACTGCACTCTGCGGTTGGCACAGAAGGGTCCATCCCCAGCAGCATCCCATCCTTCGTTTCTAACCATGTTGAGTTTATTTTCCCTTTTTAAAATGTGGATTATCTGAAAATGTGCACTGTTAATCTTATCAGCTATGTCAAATACTGTATAGTAAATGTAACTGTTAAAAACATACTGTCAAGCGCATGTGCTGTTATGGTGTAAAAATTCCTGTATTAAGGAGAACTTGTACATATTCTGGCAGCTGAAGTTCCACAAGGCCACTCGTTTGCCCCTTCCACGTCAGCGCCGTCAGCCAGCCCTGCTGGAGGGCAGGTCCTGTGCGATGCTGATTTATTTTTTTTAAATGAGCCATGTGGGTTTTATTTGCAAAACTATTTATTGACAGTTAATTCTCTGTAAAGCTCTGCTTCTCTAAGGGAGGAACCGTCTGAGCAGTGGCCGCGCACTTCAGGCCCCTCACCATCAGAAGTGGCTTTAAACTCGCGAGCAGCTTTCCATCATCATGGCTTTTGAGCTTACTGTTATGTTTTTAAGAGGTGCCAGGGGGACGTTTTTGCACTGAAGATTAGTGTTTTACAACACACACACACACTTCTCAGCAAAGCAATCCTTTGTGTCATTACATTTATTTACCCATGTGTTTGTACATTTTTGTATTTGTTAATTTATGAATGATTTTTTCAGTAAAAAATACATATCCAAGAACAGAGATTTCAGTGCTTTTTTAAATTTTTTTTTATTTTTACAGGAGGCTGGGGTGTGCTTTTTTAGTAGGAGGTGAGATTTGTAAGCCCAGAGGGGTTAAGTGCCTATGAGAGTTCGAGTCAGTAAGAGCGAGCCCTGGATGCTGAAAGCTGGTTAGAAATTTCTCATTAGGACTGGCCAGAAATAGAGTGTGAGATGTGGATGCTCCCCAAACTCTTGATGTGTTGGTGCCTGAGTCTTTTTTCCAAGCATCTGCTTCAGTGTAGCTGTGATGGAGGGCTCAGCTGCCTTAGGGTGTTAGGAGGACACTTGGCTGAAGGTGGTGCAGGGCTCGGGACTGGTGGTGGGGACTATTGGTAACTGAATTTTTGAACAACAAACCCAGGCAGACAGACAAGCTTCCTTGCAGCAGCTTAAAAATATCTTTCTCCTGCTCTGCAGCATACAGGCATGCTAGAATAAATAGCTGGCAGCCCTGGGTTGCTCCAAGCCTTGACTTTTTTTAGCTCTCCGTCTTCTGGGAAGCTTCTTCCCAGCCGTGGCGCTGGGCTGGAGCCTGCGGGGTGCCGGGCTCCCTCCAGCCTGCCCAGGCGGCCTCGCTCCCCCAGCGCCCGCAGGAGGGAGGGTGGGAGCCCGTGGGACTCCTGTTGATGCAGTGCTGGCCATTCCTGACCTGCCAGGGGAATCCCCGGGGCCCTGTGGGGGTACCCAGCTGTGGGGGTATCCAGATGTGGGGGTACCCAGATGTGGGGGTACCCAGCTGTGGGGGTGCCCAGCTGTGGGGGTATCCAGATGTGGGGGTGCCCAGCTGTGGGGGTGCCCAGCTGTGGGGGTGCCCAGCTGTGGGGATGTCGCTGCCTGTGTGTGTGACCCCCCAGCAGCCGGGCAGGGGCTGGGGGCGATGGATGCACTCGGAGAAGGCCGGGACTGCTCCTGTGCGGGAAGAACGAGGAGGGCAGGGAGCCCCCAGACCGTGACCCAGGCGGGTGCGTGGGACCCCCTTGCTGGGTCCAGCAGCGAGCAAACCCCGTTTTGGTGAGCTGTGCCGGAGACAGGAGCCCTGCGAGGCCACCGGGGCCAGCGAGCCGCGGCTTCCCTCGGGAGCAGCCCCCGCTGCGGGGGACAGCGTTCCCTGCGGGGGCTGAGAACGGCTCAGCCTTCTGTGCTGCAACATCCCCGCGCTCTGCAGCGTGGAAAGAACCCCAACCTAACAAAAAAACAACCACCAAAGCAGGGGTTCTCCGTCCTCCCTGCTGCTCTCCCGCGGTCAGTACCGGCAGCAGCAAAAGGGGACACGAGTAACCCGCGTGGTATCGGTGCAGGAGCGCGCACTCCTCGGCTGCCCCGGCCGGTCCCTGAGCCCGGTGCCACCCGCTGGGGATGGGACAGATCCGGCCGCTCCCTGAGCCCGGTGTCACCCGCTGGGGATGGGACGGGCCCCGGCGGCTGAGCCGAACAGGCCGGGCTGCTCGGCCGGGAAGAGCCGCAGGATGCCTGGACACACGGCTGAGAAATCATCTCCATCAGCGCGGCCTGGAGCCACAGGGACGGTCTGGAGGCCACGGATGCGGTGGCACAAGCCGGGCCACCCGCTTACCTGCACGGCGGGCTCCTGGCCACCGCAAAGTCACCTTGTCACAGCTGCAGTGCACGATTCCCGCAGGACCAGGCAAATCCCCCCTGCCCTG